TGGAATTCGAGCTGAGCTTGTTCAAGACCATCATAGTTTAGAACCATAATAATCGCTCTTTTAATGCTATGAGGTCATAACTTTGAAAAAAAAAAAACTCCTGGCTGTTCTGTAAAAAAGTCCCAAATTTTCATTTCACCCTACCCCTGTATTTTTTTCCAAAGCTACAAGAAAAACTACAACAACAGTTAACTAATGTGCAATCTTCTGTTATCGGAACCAGATTAAGAATTGCATGTGCACTGCGCAAAAAAAGGGGGGAGAGCTCTATCTCCTGTTCTGGGTCAACTGAGGAAATTCAAATTGCGTTTTTCACGTCTTGAAAGTGCGACTTATGGCACAAAATCAGACTTTCTGAAATAACATACTTTCCATACTCTACGACTCAAATTATGCCAGACTGCAAGTTTTGTAAAAATTGAACGAGTCATTTTTAAAAAATTTGCTCTTTAATGTTAATAGAATTTGGTATATATTTATTCTCTCTTTTTTATTCTTCCTTTCACATTTCAAAATTTAGGTTTATTCCAAATAAAATTCACCAATTTTTTATTTTTAAAAATTTTATTTTTATAAATTTTTGAAAAAAATTTTTATTACAACTTATAAAATTTTTAGTCATCTTACTGCAGGTGTATTTATTTCTAAGCATACCTGCAAAAAATTAAGTTTTTTAATTTAAAATTCTCTAAAATATACATGAATTTACATATTTTCACGAATTGAAATTTTTTTGAGCAATAATGACAAATGCGGTTTATGGATTTTGTTAAGGGTGAATTGCTGCAGCTATTTTTAACCTTAAATTTCAAATAAATTTTTTAGAGAATTATATGAATTTCCCCCCCTTAGTGGTGCATAATAAATATTTATTAATACTACATGAAAAACTATAAAAATTAACATTATTCAAATTTCTTTAATTTTTTTTCTTCCTTTTTTTATAAAACATTTGTAAATTTTTACCTTCGCCGTGGTATCGTCTGCTACTTTACTTTAACTGCATTTAAATTACTGAGAAACACTGCTTGATGTTTACTTTCACAATGTTTTTAAGCAAACAGGATGTTGACAGTTTGGGTCATGTCCCAGCTTTAAAAATATAAATTTTTACATTATTCCTCTGAGAATGTTTTAAGTAGTAATAATTGTCTCTTGCGTTGTAGATTATATTAAAAAAAAGCATATTCTTTAATATGGAAATCAGGCTTAAAAACTCTGATTTAGATTGTTTGCACCCGATATAATAATTGGATCACTTGGTGGTAAAGGACAATCACTGCTGGAGTGGTTTATTTCTTTTTCATTTAACAAAAAACTTTTACTTCAAATATTTATCCTTTGGACTTTGCTTTAAAACTTTTTTATAGTTAAAATGTCAAAAAAATAAAAAGCTGTCCTCAGCTAAAATGCATTTGATGCAACTGATATTTTAAATAATTTGACAAGAATTCAAAATTTACACAAGTGTAACAATCGAAGAATCTTAATTTTCTTGTGTCAGCACTGAAAACAAATATAGAAGGGAAAAGCAAAAATTTGAAGAGGCATCCAATCAAAGAAGTTGGGTGTTCACAAAACACTTGGACGTATAAAGTAACAAATAGCAGCAATTCAGTTTGTACTAATGGAAAGACAAAAATGATATTGCAGATTAAGCTGAAGAGCAACTGGTTTTCGACTATACGGTTGTAAAAATTTAAATTACTTCATAGAACATTATATCATTAACGGAGAATCTCAAGATTTCTCAGTTCAATTGTTTGAAGATTCAAGTATTTATCCAGTGGCATATACGGATATCATCTGAAGGCATTTTCCCTATTGATGCAACCAGACAATAAATGTTCCCTCTTTTATCTCATGCCTTCAAAATGCCCAAGCCTAACAAAAACTGATGAACAAATTGAATTGGATTATTATATTATGGCAAAGCAGGATCTTCTTGCCTAGAGAGATGCCTTTGAAGAAAGAAAACCAGCTAGCTCGTATACACGTTACATGAGTATGAAACGCCGGTATTTGCCGGGATTCAAACTCTGCAGCGAACTGCCAGTTTCAGTGATTTTACTGCTCGGCCGTTTGATGGCCCTTATGAAATAGAAGGAAATAACTTTATTTAAAATTAATGCCAGAAATACCCATATGTTTTGAAAAGTTGGATACTTTTTAATATACTTGCAGAATGCCGGAAGAAAATGAGCAAGACATTAAGAAAAAATAAAATACTTTTTTTTAATTTAAATTTTTTTATATTCGATTCTTGCAATTTTCAAAAATAAAATATTTGACTAAAATATTAATAACATTTTAAGATACTAAATGTAGGATGATAAAATTGTGTAGAGCGATGGGTACAATGATAAAACTGTTTAAAGCAATGTATGCAAGTCATCCTAAGTTAAAATGTTGGATATATTTATCTCTTATGTTGTCTTAAAATGTTGGTCTCTTATTTATATATCTTTCCTGAATGGAGCATTCATTGAAAGGCATGTTAACTGTACTTTACTGTATTTTCTCTTTTAATATAAGCAGTTTTCAAATGCAGCAGTCTGGGTCCCAAAGAATTCTTCCGAAAGAAACGCAATTCAAATAAATAAAACCAAATTCTGGAAAATTTATATTAATAAATATACTTGAAATGCACATTTCAAATGAATAAATAGAAAATTTTTAAACAATTTTCTGAAGAGACAATGCAACACAATTAAATTACCGTATATTCCGGAAGATACGCTGCGGCGTTTATGTGTTTAAAACTTAAATTTTCAGCGAATGCGGCATTTCTACCCATGCAGCGTTTAGGAGTCATTGTACAGTTTGGATGGCCTTGTCATTGTAGAGACTGATGCTGTTCCCATACAAAAGACCACTCAGTTGCTTTTTGCAAACATTATTTTGTTTACATTCTTTCCCTTGAATGGACCTACATGCCTTATTCAACCTAAACGGGATCTCAGAACAACATTCTTCCGCCTTTCAAATCAACATTATCATCAGTCTGAATCACCTCTGCCATTCGATGAAGCACATAACTCAGTTAAGTATTGAGTTAACATATTGAACTAAATATGAAAAGGTGATCTGATTTTTATTGTGAAAGATATGCAAATTATTTTAAATGAACAGCAAAACATGTTGGCTAGATCACTGTTTAAGTTTTTCTACATGGCAGAAAACAAGATGTTACTGTAAAAAGGAATTTTGAGTATAAAATCCATGAAGTTACATGAATCCTTTCTAATCACTTATCTGTTACTTTCAAACAGGAACTTCAGGATTACTTTCCATTGTCCTGATTGTCACATAACCATAGTAATAACAGCTCCAGATGGAATCATCTAATACTTTCTACATGTTCACTTTGTAAAATGCAAAAAAATGAAAACTAACTTGCACTAAAAAGAGATGAAGGAAAAAGTGCTAGCAGTGATACGACACATCACGATCGTTAATTGGAGATGAGCTGACAACAGCCTCAGAGAATTTATTTTAAAGGACTAGTAATGTTCCTTTAATGGGAGTACTAAGTTCTTGTACATGGTCCATTATAATTATGTATCATTTTCTCAAGGTAACAATGAGACATCCATCAAACATACACAAACCAATATCCACAGCCATCTCTTAAGAGGCATGCAGGAATATCAGGTTCTCAAAGGTAAAAAAAAAATTCTTTTTAAAGGAATTAATCACTAGATATCTTTAACAGCTTTGTGTTCTGTAACTTACGCCAAACATAAGAGACTTAAAAATTTTGCTTGTTAAATCTTAACATTGCTTATAAAGAATTCATGATTTGCCTGAAGTCTTTTCTATTCAGAAGATAATTTCTCTCAAAGCTATAATTTTCACCCAGTTTGATTCTATATTTAAGTTTTATAAAATTTCATTTTAATAAAAAAGGATATTTCCAAAATTAGTTTGATTTAAATTATACAACTTCAGCAATATTAAATTTATAAAATCACGTATTGTTGAAATTTCTTCTATGTGGTAACAAGTGTGACCTAAATGTTTCTTTTTTAAAGTTTTGTTAAAATTGGTAAAAAATTTTCATGAACAAAAGATACATTTATAAAATCACATGATATGGTAACTTTAGTTATGTTAAATGTATGCTAACTTTTTGTGTCAACCTGAATGTTTTCAATTGATATAAAATTAAATTATACTTGCTTAAATTTTAATGTAGTAATAAAATTTTCAATTCATGTGTCAAAAATTGTTATAAAGTTTCAAAGTAAAATAAAATGTAATCAGGTCTATTTAAAACTTGTCCAGACTTGGTACTTGAATTTATTGCTTATTGTAAAATAATGCAGTGTAAATACAAGAAAGATTTTTTAAGAAACTTAAAAGTTTGAATTTTTTTTAACTTGTGATTTATACTCATTGTGCCTTCAGTAAATCTTATACTTGAAATGTGTATTCATCAAAAACTTCAAAATTTCCAGTTAAAATAGTTGCATGGATGCAAAAAATAATCTTTTCAAAACATTTGCAGCAGAATACATACTTGTTGATGAATCTTGTTTGTTTTCGTTGATTTCAAATACTTACAAATATAGTCGCCATTCTCCATCTATAATTGAAAGTGAAAAAAGAAGAAATTCAAATACTGGATGCTCAGAACATGTGCCATTTTGTAAATTTCAGTTCACATTTCATGTGCTGATGATGAGGGGAAAATAAGAGTTGGTAATTTTCCATTTCTAAATTAATGACATTTTATGTATTGCTGGCTCAAATTTTATATGCAATAAAAGGAACTGCTTTCCAGCTTGTCCTGCTGTAAAAATTTGTTGGTAAACACTTACAGCTTCATATTTCAGTTACGTAAAAAGGTACAAAGATAACTGTTGCAGTTTTGATGAAATTTCCTAAATGTTTCAAGTAAGCATGCAAAGATTAAATTGCAGGAATAAGGTTGTTATATCTCTATATGGCTCATTTGTATCATCCAGCATTTTTAATACGAAGTATGAAAACGAAGATTGGCAGTATTGATATTTTTATTGTGATCATGAATACAACACAGACGAATATGAAGACTTAACTGATGAGTTCTCAAGGTTAAAAAACTCAAAATGGACACATAGTTTGGTGAAGACTATAAACAGCATTATCTGGCAACAGATGATTTGCTCCCACACGAGCAGTCCGAGGTTCAGGCAATGGCTATTGAAGATGAGCAATCCCCTACCAGTTGCTGCCGTTTCTGTTTGAATAAAAAGGTTGGTTATGCGTTAAGACGTACAAATGCAGGTATATAATCAGAAGAGTTGAAGCGTAAAACAAGGAATAAGTGTGCATTGAATGAGTAACTGAAAAGTGAGCTCAAATCATTAAGTCTTTTCAGCATTAAAAGTATAAAGTCCTTTAAGAAATAAATGCAAATACAGTAATTCTTTTGAGTAAAAAATGTAAACAGTTGAGCAGATAAAAGTTGAGGTTATTACTTTGCTCTTGCACACATTTGAAGATTACAGATGAATTAAATTATATAATTAAAAGCTAAGGAGTTGCTTCAGTAATACAGCTTAATAAGTATAAAACTCAGTTGAATTAAATATTAAAAAAGATGCATATAATCAATCATATCTGGTTTCCAAATGCACTGCAAGTATCTTACTATATGGCACTAAACATTCTTATACTTCATTTCACAACTGGATGACATAAAATTGCATGCTAATTATTCTTTTTAAATCAATATGCAAGATGAAGGAATCAGTATTGAACATTTGTCATTTAGGATGCATTTATCCCTTTGTAAAAGATCTTAAAATACATTGCAGCAATAAAATTATATATTATGTAATATTTTTAAAGATGTTTAAGCACATCCTTATCAAAAAACATTAAAAGTGAGACTTTCAGCCATGACAGATGAATACCTGCAGTCAATATGGTACCGTTTCACAAATACAATGATTTTATAGTCAATATGTTAACATTTAAAAAATTAAATTTACCTTAAATGGTTTAATTCAATATATACAGAAAATTGATGAAAATAATAACATCAATTACTAAGATAAACAAAAAAGTTACCTCTGACCCATCGGAGAACGGCTTCGATATCCTGAACTCCTATAATCACTTCCACCACCTCCATAGGAAGGCCTATCATAGCTGCTGCCACGATCTCCACCATAACGAGATCCTCCACCTCTTCCACCACGATAGCCACCACCACCACTTCGGAATCCAGAATCATAACCTCCACGGCCTCCACGAGAATATCCGCCATCTCTGCCTCCACGGAATCCTCCACCTCCACGACCACCTCGCCTTCCACCTCTTCCTCTGGAAATATCAACTCTAATTTCAGAGCCATTAATTGTTGCTCCATTCATCTCTTTAATTGCTTCATTGGCATCCTGGTCATCTTCAAACTCAATAAAAGCAAAACCTGGTGGATTACGTGCCACCCAAACTTTTGTTAGATTACCAAATTTACTGAATTCTCTCTCCAGGTCCTCTTTTTGAATGTCTTCACTCAAACCTCCAACATATACAGATGCAGACCTCATTTTTCTAAAACAAATTAATGAACATTATTATCTACAATAGAAATTATCTAGAATTATTTAAAAACAAATATACACAAAAAACTCAAATTTAAAATTCTGGTCTTAAAACAAAATCAGCCATGAAATTTAATGCCAAATATATCAATCACTCTGGGCTGATTCTTTAGTGTTCAATAACGATAAAAGCTTTCTATGTTCATCTACTAGATAAGTACTATCCAATCAGCGGCTCGCGAGTGCCCATTTGCCCAGAATCCCATCTTTGGGTAGCTGCCATTCACTATCAAAATACTGCCATGAGATCAAAAACATTAATCCTAATATAAAAACGTACATTAGCATGTCAAATACAGGGGCATTTATCTACTCATGTGTTAGCAACTTCATTTTGTCCAGTTTCATTGTCTAGCAATTTAGTTTAGCTTTTCTTCATTGAAGAAATTATTCTTTCTGCAATACCCCCTTCCCCATTTCAGAAAGAACAAACATCACATTCTTCCATTCTTGCCTCCTCTTAATTCTTCAGATAGTAGCTTTTTTTTGTGGTTATAGAAAGAAGTTTCCAATTCTGAAAGATCATTCATCTTTCTGTTAGTGAAACATTAGGCTTATCTACATTGTCTAAAATCATTTTTAATTCTAACCTCTATATCATCAAATATGAACTTCTCTATCCTATTGCTTAATCAATAATAGCTCCTTTTCCTGCTTGCTTCCTAAAAATGGCATCACTTTTGAGAGTTCTTGCTTCTATTTATGCATACCTAAATTTACCAGCAAGATTTGTAGCTAATGAATCAGTTTAATCACTAATGACAAATATCAAATCCATCCACCTCCTTTACATTTATTAATGTATATAGTCCATAAATAAAAATAGCTCAGTTTGTCAATTATTTTTTTTTTCAATTCACTTTAATTTAAAATTCAAACTGTCCAACAAAAACTGGAGTCTGAGTCGACCAGTTTTTAACGACTCCAGCTGACTCCTTTTACCCAAAAAAATCTGCCAGATTCCGACTCCACAGCCCTGCTGCCAACAGTAATAAGCACACAGTCTAAATTAGTGTTTTGAAACACCAATTTTGACTTTGAAACAATTACTGTTTTGAACATATTTAGTGCAGTGCAAAATATTGAACATCTGCAAGTTGAAATTAGCTGCTAAACTTAAGCACATGTATGTCAATTATAGCTTGTTAAGTACAATAATTAGAAAAATTAAATTCAATTAAGAGAAAAGTATGATGCAGCATATGCAGTTCAAAATTAGCAGATTAAGCAAAGATTTATTTCTTAAGGCTGGTAGAAAAGAAAGATGTTAAGCATAAGTAAAAGATTAGCATGGAAACATGTTCATCTTTTGCGTACATTTGAATTGTATTATTGAAATGTATTTCGAATTAATTCTATTATTGTAAATTTTAAAACATGTATGCTTATATCTAGCAATTTTTCAGATTTTCATGGCCCTGAAAAAGATCTCCTTTCTAAAAACCTATGTCATTAAACTGCCAGAGACTTATTATCCTAAAGTATATCCTTTGGCGACTTATTTTAGTTGCTGTTATGAAGACCACTTTTTAATTTCACTTTCAGAGACCGCCTGTTTCAATTTTTCTGTTTGCTTGTCCAGACTGGATATGTGCACTGTTTGTTGGATTTAACAAAATGTGCGAAGTGATTAACAGTTGATGCCCAAAATATCCATGCCTGCCTAATAATGAATATGTCAACCATACATCAGTCATAATAGGGTACTTTTCCATTTCGCCGGCGCAAATCTCGCCAAGCAGACTTTATTGGCGACAACATACAGTATACACATAAAAAATGTTAGTTCTAAGAATTCTTTTTAAAAAAGAAGGCATAAACATTTTAATATTGCTTAAAATTTTATAAAAACCAATAAATAAAGACAACAAATTTGTAAAAAGACATTAATTTAAGAATTTACCATGCTTTCATGGTTCAACATCCTAATTCGCCGGTTCATATCACGTGACCCCAAGCGATCTCATGTCACGTAAACTACTCTACAAAAATCTAATGCTCTCAGTAATTATCTACATTAATTTCATGTTAAATCTTAATTTGGAATGCAAGAAATATTTCAATTTCGTACAAATAACTTACTCAGAAATTATGTAAAACTGCAGTGCTTTACTTCGCTAATGCATTCTCATTAGAATTGATGAATTTAACCCTTGACATTACCTTTTCTATATTTTCGGCTTCGGTTAAACGCTGTGATTGCATCCTAATTCACTTAATTACCAAAAATTGTCTTAGACATAAAACTGAACTATCTGATAAAAATTCTATGTAATGATATGCCAGTATTGAAAGAAACAATCAATCTGATAAGAAAAAGCTGCGACTTGTTTTGAAAATGAGGCGTAAAAGGTTACCAGCGAGAACATTCCGTTTGGCATCGGTTGTACCATTATTGGCGACTTTTTATCGCCTGCGCCGGCAAAACGGAAAAGTACCCATAATAGTTATTTCCTTTGCCATATGCTTCTTAATCAGCAGCATTGGAATCTCCACTGATCTCTTAATTGTTATGAAAGAGTTTTCAACAAAGGCAATCTTTCAGACACACACCACTGCAAACTTCCTTAGTTAAACAAAAACTACTCCATCTATTCGGTTAAAAAATTTACTGAGAAATTGAAGAATAAATTATATTACAAATGTGAATTATAAGCATGATGCTACAATGTGCAAAATCATAAGCAGCAATATAGAGGACAAATAACACAAGAGGAATTGCTATCTGCAAAATCACTAGATTCCTATACAAGGTTCGAATTATTATCACCATTTTTTTTTTCTTTGCAGAGGTGTTCCCAGCATATTTTTCCACTTCAAATAATTTATGGCTAATCTTTGGAATATGGTAACAGGTAATTTGGTGACATTTTGATAAGGAGATAAAGGTTACTAGCTAGGACTTTTAGCAGCGTGCATGCATAAAGTCAAGAGTGTGCGCAATGCCATTTTTGTGCAATTCTGGGATTTGTTTTAAGAGAAAATAGGTCGACGTGTACACGGATACCATGTATGTGCAATTCTTAAAAATACGGCAAGCTGTGGGCAATTCTGCACTTTCTCCCAATTTCGCACCTAATCTTTGTCATGATTAAGCACTTTTGTTCCATAAAAGTTCTAGCATAAGCAAAATCGAAAAGTTACCATAATTCAAAAATTAATCCAATTTACTACTCTTATTTTAGAATGAAGTTTGTTTTATTTAACAGTCCAAACAACGTTACAAAGGAAAAAAGTTATTGCATGATTGATTTTTGATGAGCTTAGCTAACAATCTGCTTTTGATTAAAGATGGTGAATATGAATTCGTTACAGTGAAACACACATTAGAGCTACCTCGAGGACTGATTTGGTTTGACTGTATGAAAACAATAATGAATTAATTCAGTGAGAAAGCATTCTTAAAAACAAAAGGAAAAAGCAGTTTTGCAATGTATGTCAAACTTTTAGCACACTAAAGCAATAATTTGTGGGGATCGATCCATACCTTAAAAGAGGCACTCAAGTTCATCACTGATCCAATGTTAATTTATTACAAAAGGGAAAAGTATGCAAAGTCTACTTAACGTAATCACATAATCCATTAAATTCCAAAACTTGGGGGCATCTAAAATACATCAGAAAAGTTACTTCACAAATACATCAAATGGTACTTGTTTTTTCAGAAACCAAAGCACCAAGGAAAAAATGCTCTTAAACGATGCAGTTAACAGTAAAAATGTCAAATTGTCTGAAACTGTGTACACTGTATGAAAGCAATGCCTGTTGTATGAATCTTCTTATGCCATATGAGAGCAATTGTAGCTGACTGCATTTTCTTTTACCAGAAATGTATCTTAATCTGACTTCCAGACTTTATGTCCTGCCCATCCCCTTTGCTGGAATTCAACAGCTTCATTTTCACTGAATGTTAAGATATTCATCATTTTGTATTTCAAAAAAAAAAAATCTCACAAATAAAAATTTTCTTGTAATTTTTATTACTTAAATTTAGACCTGATCTTTAACTCGCAAAGATATACATGTGCTTTACACACATGAAAATAACTGAAGAAAAACATAACAGTTGATGCACAAATTAAAAAAAAAATACGACCACATTTCAGTCTGTTTTCAGTCAGGCTTTAACCAGCAATTATTTGCCAGCGGATAAAACAAAAGCATATCATATAATGTATTGAAAATCGTAAAAAAAAAGCACTCTGAAACTTCAATCTTCTGCTAATCACCAAGCAAACCTCTTATGCATTTTCAGTCCATTCTCTAGTTTTTATTTTAATCCTATAATACCTAATAATCTGATATGAAAAATGCCAAAATGTTTCAGGAACTGGAGTTTTACATGAAAGTATTAACATAGCTCAAGGGCTTTCAATAAAAAATATATATGGACATTAAAAAGTCAACAGCAAAAATTACCTTTTTACCAGCAAATACTTTGAATCTACAATGCAGCATTCCATAATTTATTAAAGATTAGATTGTTATGTCTTCACACCTGTTTAAAAAAATAAACTGCAACATTCTGCAAAATTACCTTCTATTGATGTTCCATATTACGGCTAATCCTCATATCAAGACACATAAAATTGCTATTTTCTCTTGAAATATGGAAACCCGGGTTTTACATTATGCAGAATGTTATAATGTAAAACAATACTTATTTGGATATAATTCTGAAATATATTTAGTTAGATATTCTAAATTTTATGTTCTTCAGTTAATTTTCTTTTGCAAATTTCTCATCTTAAAAAAATCCTGAATAGGTTATAAAAGCTGAATGAAAATAAAATTAATAAATGTACATACAATATTGTTGGTAAGCGTAGTAGTTATGTGCCTTTTATTAAAACAAAATACAAATATTAACCGATTAAAAATGGTTCTGCAAATAAGAATTCAGATTAAATGAATTTAATAGAAAAATCATTGTAAAAAACAAAACACTTGCCTTAATAAAGGCTACAAATTAAAAATAACAAGATTCAGTAATCTGCGAGAGGTGATGGAAAAGAACTGGCAACTGCGTTATACGTTTACAATCTTTCAGGGTTGCATGTTTCTAGTTATCAAGAACATTGTCACAACCCGACTTGATTAGCCAACACTATTAAGTGAAAAGTTTCAAATTATAACAGATAATAACTGAGATAACAAAATTCACTTTTTTTCTCATAAATATAACTACTGAATTAAATTATATCAGATGTAAAAATCTAAGAATTCATAAATTTACCATTATCAGAAATTAAGAAAATTACATCAAAATAAGCACACAATGTACATAAAGAATAGTGCAACACAAGCATTGATAAAGTTAAAACTTGCCTCCTACTGAATCATCCAATTATTAGATTCCTAATTTACTTATGAACGCTACCGATTCTTACGTAAAACAGCAGAACATAGATTATGTTTTTTGGCTATTTTATACTTCAGGATTTAAACTGCTTATGATGATTTCCATATTTCAATTTTTTTTACCTGTCTGGATATTACTCCCAAAATAGCCATGATGCAAATTTCATATGCAGAATAACGCAACAGATTAAAGCCATGTACCGGTAACTCTAAATATTTACTTTGCAACTCAGGGTAAGCTATTACTAAGGAATATTTTTTTAATTTTACCAAAAATTGGCATTTCAACCAGACAGGCATTTCAGAAGTCCCCTTTCAAAAACAAACACAAAAAAAAAAAAAAAAAAAAAAACATAGACAATGTTTTAGCAAAATGGCGGGTTTTTTTTTATTCTCTCCCATCAACACTTTGAATTTTACTCTTCCCTCTAGAACATTGGGTATATTTTTTATTCAGAATTTTGTCTAATTTTCTCACTAAGAACGTTTTCTTATAAGTCTTATTGCTTTTTACGCTTGCATCGCAAAAAAAAAAAAAAAATTAAGATGATAGATCGCTGCGTTCATTAAAGCGAAGTGTTACGCTGTGATCTTAAACTTTGCAGTCTGTGTAACGTATATAATCGGACGCATCGAAACAAAACGAAATAATGCAGATATTAAAACTAAATTGACGTTATCTGCTTGAACTTTACACACGTTAAACTAAAATATACAGTTCCAAATTAGCGAGCGAAAAAATTGATAGCAACTACCCTCACAATTAACAATAAATCAGAAACGGCACAATCACTCTTAGGTTTCACAACGGTTATCTACAACACGCTAGCGCCCACGAAAATCTCTCGAGACAATGCAATCGATAATGGCGGCCATAGTTCGCATTTCAAGGCCGGCAAGACGCCAAAATTTTTGCGACTTACTAAACGCTTTCACATACAAGCAGATATTAAACATACTGATTTTTGAATAATTAAACCATATTACTGAAAATCAATTATATTATAACAGTAATATGCAGCACTTCGAACAAATTGCGACCGGCGCATTTCATTAAAACGTACAACCTAAAAACAAATTTTAAACTATGTTCCTGCAAAAAAATTAAAAATAATATACTTTACTTAGCTTTCATTTAGCTTAAAGTACATTTAAAAAAGATCTAATAAATACTTACAGGTATTAAAATGAACAAAGAATTTTCCCTGCGACAAAAATTCGACGAGCAGTTTTCTTCTACGTCTACTCACTGAGGAAAATGGCGCAAAGAGGTAGATCGTTACTTACGGTTACAGTTGTAACAATTTCAACAGGAGCTCTTTCTTCCTCTTCTTTACGTGGCAAGCAGAAAATATAAAAAAGAAACTTTATAAAAACCTAAATGCAGGAGATTTTGCAAGATTTTCAATTTAATCCGACATAAGTGCAATGGCTCAACTTATTATGCACAGGACGTTTTAATTTATAAATGCGAGTAAAAGTTGCCCACCTCCCTCACCCAAAATGTCAGAACCTTAAATCTTTTATATAGAAGTAAAATACACATCCCGAATAATTTTTTCAAAATTTTGGAACAATCTTCATTTTAAAAGTAAAATTCTTCATCGCAAAGTTATTTATCAAAAGTTGTAATTATAAATTAGGGCTCTAGTCTGGACACAGTCGAGATGGAAGAACAAATCGTTTTTGCGATCAACTCGACAAAGAGCGAGTCTCGTGTTATCGTCTCGATCATAACAGAGATCGATCAAGGCGTTGGATCGACGCATGGGAAGTTTTTCCGTCAGCTGTGTAGCTGCCGTTTAACTTTCTGACCGTAGACAGACAAAGTAGACAGGTCTAGAGCTAACCTGAAGACGGCAAAGGTCACGGTAAGTTTCTGTAAGTGTACGTAATGGATATTTTAATTTCTTAAGATTTGCGAAAAACTCAAGTGTTTCCTGATAGAAATAACGCATGTGTTCTACTTTTATTGGATTATTTCGACTTACCAAACTTAAAGCAAACTTATAGACTTACCAAACTTATAGCACGGACCCTTATTAACAAATTAAAGCCATACTTTAACGGAACATTCACATTAAAGACAGCAATAACACCTGAATTAAGGGCAAGAAATAATTCGCTTGTTTTCATATCTGAATGACACAGGCTTCTGGCTATTAATCTATCAGAAAAGAAATTCCTCAATTTAATTTTAGTGAAAATAATATGCTTGGAGTTTTATAAAGGAGGAGTGCATCGGCTTATTTCATAAATGCACATTACTTGACTTTCAATACTAATTTAGCTAGATAACAGAACCTAAGGCTCCTCTAAACCAGGCTGAATCACCAACTTTTCTCTCTTGGCGAGGGAGGGAACGCGCTACCAATTTTGGCGCGTTTATCGCACACGCTGGCTGAATGTCTGCTGTTTTTTTTTTAAAGATTTATTTTATAGACGCGCGGCATTCAGCGCACATAAACTTTTCGGATAATTAATTAATTCTCGAATAGTATATAGACGTTTTCACTTAAATAAAAATTTCGCGTATATTTTGTAAACATATTCAAAATAACTTATTCTTTAGATGTTTCAGTTTCGTTAGCAGACTAAAATAAATAAGATATGAATAAAAACTTTCAATAGTGTCAAAATGGGGAAATAGTTAAAGCGTAGAGTGTGCAAATAAATTTATCTTAATGACATTTTAACAAAAATTTCCATAAAAACACTGTAAATTCATACTAAAAAAATAACTTAAGAATATGTTGTCATTTTAGTCTGAGGTATATGGAAATAATTGTGCAAGACTCTGAAGAAACACTTTCTTTTAAATGTGTGAAATATTTCATAACATATATGGAAGAAGAAAGTACAGCATTCTGTGTTTTGGATGACTTTCACCAAATGTAATATAAATACGAACTAGAAACCGTAATAAAAAGTCCTTCCTCTCCAATCAGATCACCTTTGTGTTGCATTGTATTTGTAATACTTCTAAAAATCCAATTTTTACCTAAATTAAAAAACAGTTATTCCATAAAAGATAATAAATTTGAACGTATATAGAATGAATTTTGTAATTTGAGTTATGTTACAAAATAATTCATAGTTTATATATTTTATACTAATAATTTAGATAAAACCTGTCCAATTTAAGAATGTGTGTTAACCACATTCTTAAATTGTAAAAGGACGACTTAACCACATGTAATTCATTTCAAAGCATAAAAGAAAGCTTATTTTTTATTTTACACAGCAACAGCATTTTCATGCAGTCAAGTTTTTTTAATTGTTAGTTATTATACATAATACTTAATTTTTAACACATTCTTATTAGAAAGCATAACTAAGAAACTTCTTTTTAAAGCCCCACAGTAATTGCAAAGAATGTCGTTAAATTTACAAAAGTATTGAAGATATATTGAACAGCATTATAACAAGAAACTACTGTACAAAATATGTAAATTTAACATAACTTCTTTTTTAGTATTTGCATAGTTTCCTCCAAATGAACCTTAATGGGAAGTTATCTTGCAAAAATTTAAAAGTATTAAAATGGCCTCTATTTAAGATGTAACTGCATTTATAATTATTTTGTAATTGTGAATAGATTATATTATTGCAATTAGATTATGCACTTACAACATAATTGCATAAAGTAATGAAATTAAGAGTTCACAGATACAATGTAATATAATTACAAAGCAATTATCTAAATTGTAATTATAATCACTTATTTAATACCACAATATTATTACAATCACAATGTAATTTAAATTGGGTACTATATTTGTATACCCTCCACTCAAAAGGAGGTACTGATAAGCCTGGAAGTTATTATCAACAAAAAGCCTGTTCAGGACAGTTTGATGACAATTTCCACCGGGCGAAAAGTACATTCTTAAGCCCAGGCAAATCATGACAATAAAAATCATTTAGTCTCATGATTCACTATATTTCAAACCCTAAATTTGAATTCTGCACCAAATTATTTACCTATATTTTAATATACTTTATGAATTATTAGAAGCGATATGGCAAATATCTTCTAAAAATAACTGTAAAATATTTGTATCCATTAATTGATTCAGATACACACTTTTATTATTTAAGTATATCAAAATAACAGTTTCATGTTCCTGAAATACAAAAGTTATGAAAAAAGTTAAAGTAATATTCTTAGAAGCATATGATATTAGTCACCAGCTGCAAAACAGTTAATTTTTTGCCCTAAATACAAGTTTATTACACAGTAGTCATACGTGTAACTTAATAACATGGTATATAAAAAATTAATGATAATAAGTTTATCAGAAATGAATTAATTCTGCAAATAAACTTTCTGCATTTGAAAATTTTCTACACCTGAGGGGAGGGAGAGATCTAGTAAAATTAGATTTATTATAACTTCAGTTGGACCAAATACCTTCTCTCTCTCTATATATATGCATCACTAAAGAAATAAATAAAATTATCATGCTTAAAAAACAGATGTACCATACCAGTTTTTTTCCCCTTGTTACCCTTTACATTGAGAAATAACAAACAGTACAACGCTGAAAAATACTATCTTTGAAATTTTTTTTTAAATGAAGAAACACACACCATCTTTTTATTTAAGCATTACACTTCAAAAACAGATACACATACCAATTTATTTTCACTAGCCTTTATACTAATAACATGCCATATAAAAATGAAAAGAATTATCCTTGAAATTTAGATAAAATGAAGTAACACAATGAAAAATTTATGCACACGGACATCTTTTTTCTATTGCATGTTGTCTGACATGATCCACAAGTGCCTAAAAATGTACCCAAGGAAACACATTTCAATATTAACAAAAAATTGTTTACAGATTAAAATTCATTCATTTCATACCAGTATTATAAAGATCATGCATGAAACAAATCTGCTTTCCCATACTTTTAAGTAAAACTTGAACTGAAATTTTATACTGGAAAATATGCTATATTTCTATATATTAGAAACAAGAAAATAATACCATAATAATATACTCATAGCCTAGCAGAAAGTAACATATATAACATCAAACACAGAAATTTATATACTCGTAGCCTAGGAAAAAGTAATACATATTACATAAAACACATAAATTATTTAATATAAAACATACATACCTTCTAAAATTATTTTACTTTTTGTTTCTTATTGGCCGATGCTGATGAATATGAAACGTTATGGGCTCTTTTGTTGATAAGATGCTGTGTAAGGCCTTTGCATCTAGTAATAAAAAAATTATCAATAATTACTTTCTTAAGATTACAGCATTCTGGCATGGCCACATGCGTACATTTATCAATTATTCTTTCAACTAATTCTTTTGTGATGGCTGATTGTAAACGAAGGAGTACATCTTTACATTTTTGAAATTCTCGTTCAGCTTCCCTACATATTTGATACATTCCTGAAGAGATGACCTTCAGTCCACCTTTATTGCTATGTTTTGTAAGAATTGTGCGATGCTCGGGTATGTCAGGTTCCAGCATGTCCTCTGAAATGGTCATAGCTGTTTTACAATTTTCACATATGCTTTTTTTTTTCAACAACTTATTATATATGGCTCCTGCGATGTAATGTATATCATTTTCTTCCACAGCTGGGGGCAAGCGACGTTTCACTGCCACTGCAGAAGAGGTAGATGGCACTACAGAATTGGAGATAGGATGCAAGACCTCCTTTCTGATAGCAACCTCTAATTCAGAAGCATCAAAGAGGCTGTGGTCACTTTCAGAACAATAATTTGGATTATTGATATCTGAAATGAACTGTGATAGGCACACTAATTTCAGTGCTCTCTTGGCTTGCAAAGCAGTAGGCTTTGCACCCAACTTTCGTCTAATCTGTGAAAAGGCATTTTCCAGCGCATCTTGTGTCAACCTGCCTGGTAAGAAAAATGTAAACCCCTCGGAAAATAATTCTTTTGAGAGTTTCACAACACTCAATGTGCTCATAATAATGCCAGTTTGAAATGGCTTCCATGCTTTCCCAAACTGAACAGTTTCAGTCACATGAATGAATTTCAATAAAATATTAAATTTCTCATCTTGATTTTTGATAGTGATGCCTTTTTTTGGATGCCTTGTAGTCATAATTGTAAACCATTCTGCTACAAGTCTCAGCCACCATGCAGAAGTTAATGCTTCTTTTGCAACTTGGTGTAAAAAATACCTGCTTTTTCAATAGCAGCAGCTGTTTTTACAGAAAACAGAAAACAATTGCACAGCAGATGCCCCCATTCATCGAGGAAAAGTGTGTTGGGAAGAGATGAACTCTGTTCAAGTGATGTAGAGATCTCAGGGCAGCATCTGCTTCTATCTCACTTGACCAGAGTCGTTTCACATACACTGAAGATACTATCCTCGATGGCAAGGCATGCTGGTGGCGAAATTCCTCTGGTAATATTATAATACTTGAAAGAAATGTATTTCTCATATTTTTAATGAGATGTGGTACATCTGCAATACTGTGAATGAAAACATCAGGTCCTCCAATGTTGTAATTTGTCTTCCTATCTCTCCTAGAGACAGACACATCCAATGACGACCACATTGCTCTGTTATTGCTTCCCATATCTGAAACAGAGGCTCTTACAGTTAAACCTATTTCTGTAGCTGCTACTACAGTTCTATGAATTAGATCTTTCATGTCAGAACCTGATGTTGAAGGCCCTGTTAATTCATTGGCAACAATCTGTTTCCATGATGTTTTAAGGCCTCTAAGCATTACAATAGTGTAATGCTTAGCTTCCTAACGTAACATTTCCAATGAATGACTTAGACGATGTATCAAAATCTTGATATGAAGCTATTTCCATTTCGTCAACTAAAAGGCAGCAGTTCCTATCAAGAGCATCCAATGAATGAACTTTTGTCTTGAGGAAAAAAAACAAATTTTCTAAAATGCCGAAATTAATTTTTATGTCCCTAATCCTCCTGTTCAAGGTACTGTACGATGGTGCTGGATATCCAGTACTTCTGAGGTAATTATATCCATGTTTGCTCAAAGCAAATCGCATCTTCAGTCCTTTTATAATGGACTTTTCTGACCAGTTCCTTTTTGACTGCACAGCAAGGGTTCCTACTTGCTCATCGGACAAAAATGATGTCAATTTTGCATCTTTTTCTTGAAGCTGTTGCTCAAGGAATTCTATTTTTTTTAACAACTCTTCATTTGAAGCAGGTAGAGTTTCCTAAATTCAAAAAGAAATAGTAAACATGTTATGCTGTGATTATTTTTTTAAACAATGGTTGACTGAATTAATATATTTGTAATAACAATGATTTTTTCAACAATTTTTTTGGAGAATATTAAATAATTTACCACTTCAGTATTTGGCTTAGGACATCTTACTTCTCTTATCCTCTTGTCAGTTACAGATGGTGGTGGATTTGGAATGCTAAAGAGTGTTGGTACTGCAGTTTTTCTTAGTTTTTAACTATCTTTGCATAGTGACTCAAATTGAGATTCCTCAAAATGATCCTGTAAATACATAAAGTAATAAAAAAAGTATACAAAATAAATAAAAGTACAAAAAACAAACCACACGAAAGAAAGAAATGTGAGAAAAGTGTTTCACACAGTGAGGTTGTGCCAAAGGCAGCAAGCATGAACTGTAAGTAAGTATAGGCAATAAATAAATATGCAGGTAATTAAATTAGGCCCAGTATTATAAAAAACTGAAACAATAAACAAACCATGTCTAACATATCAGCAGCAGCATCTTGTAAGCTTGGGCAGAATTTAATTATCCAATATTTATTTTTTGCCTATAATTTAAAGTGTTCTTTAGAACATTATCCAAAAATTAAATGAAGTAGTGTTTTGCTATAAAATTAAAAACAACTAAAATAAAACTTTATATTTCTTGCTATAGTGCTCTTACAATAGATAAGAAAATATGAGTTCACTTCACCCAACTTTTAAGATACTAGGCCGATAAATACATTTATAATTAGAGCAGACTATGATTCTTGTTATAATTGTAGTAATGTTTATTGCTTTAATTGAAATATTTAATTTTTAATTCTCTAATCATTCAAAACATAGGCCTAATTTCGAAGCACAGTGCCAACATGCATTTTAAAAAGCATCAAGGCCAGTTTAAACGACAATTTTTTAAATTACATCCCCACAGACATATCCAATTAAAGTTATTAAAAAACTCTAGAACGTAGTTCAGTAGCTTTCTGAATTTGTAGGCAATTTCTTATTTAGAGATGACAACACAAAATAACGCTTCAGAAAATATTATTTATCATGTATAAAAATCTGCTTTGTAACACATATCAGTAATAACTGTTTATCAATGTCATGAGGATTTAATTTGACGAGATCACATTCTTTAGAAGTATCAAATTCATGAAAGGATTTTGGCTTGGCCTTTGAAATTCATCATTATAGGCAGATTTATTTGATTGTTATGCATGCATTAAACACTACACATGCATTAAAAACACTACAATTATTTTTGAAAAATACACATGCAGTTTCACAAGTTTTTTCTGTGCTTATTTGAATGTTCTGCATTCATTTCTAAATCTTTACTCCATTGCCAAATTGTATAATACTGTGATTATAAATATATGGTACTTGCAATTATTGAAGTCAGATTATATATATTTTGTCTCATACTATTCAATTTATTCTATTGACTTCAGATGTCAATGTCAAAATTCTGGAAGTTATTTTAACCAAGAAACATTAGTGGGCACCGTGCATAAAAAACTCATCTAACTTTTTAACAATAGTGATTATAAAATAAAGAAAAAAATTATATATCATTCCAACGATATTGCAACTATAGTATATATAGTATAATGTTACATATATCTTTAGCAAACATTCAGATTTTATCTTGACTTTCCAAATTATGATTTGTTTTTTAATAAATTTCAATATGCTAATGATTTTCATGTTACATTAGTATAATTTCCACAATTAGCACAGGAAAACAAAATTTGCGCTTTATATTAGAAGAGAAATTTCTTTTCCACATTCAAAACATCCACATTGGCGATGTTTGGCGACGGGTACATTAACCCTAGACTAATTTAATTATAGCTATTATTACAGAAATTAGCAGATACTTAGGTTATTGTACACAAGAATTTCACTTTACTTACACATTATAAACATCAGAGAAGATATAAACTCTAAATCAAGGCGTAATTAACATTATACTTACTAAGCAAATTTCAGCGCTTGGACCAGGTTTCCAATTGTCTCTTCGGCAATTATTTACCCATATTTTTCTTCTTTCTTCATTTTTAGGAAATTTTACCAATGTATGACCTTTCCGTGAATGATTTGAACAATTAATAGCTGCACATCCGCCCATTTTACACAAAAAAAACACAAAAAATTGTTGCACCGTAATTACACAGCCGCCATTTAATCTCCCACTTGGGATAGCGAATGCCTGATGATTCAGCCTGGTATATAGGAGCCTTAACAGAACCAAATTGTCAATCAGTTACCAAACAAATCTAAGCACATCTTAAATTTCCCTTTTTCTCATATATTTTCCTCTTCTCCCTATGTGCTATTTTCCACATGGCATTTACTTCAGTTGGCATAATAAAATATCGCCCACATCCTTAAAGAAGCCAAATTGTCGCTACCAAGGCTGGTCTCCGAAGAATATCCCAGAGTTGTTCAACAGCCTATTAAAAAAATGTGTGGAATAACAACATACAACGGCTTACTATCCCCAAGCTAATGGAAAGGTCGACGGCGTCCCTAGATCTTTCAAGACCGCACTTATAGCACACAATAGCCTGGAGTGAAACACTTCCAACTGTTCTACGCATAGCTATGCAAGAAGACTCTGCATACACCATTGCTCAAATGGTTTAAGGATAAAATATACGATTACCTGGAGAATTTTTCCAAGATAGCATAACTCCTACATACGGAGTATTATGAAGGAGGTGAAACTGCCTAGTAGAAAAACGGGTCCTAAAATGTCGCGTTTACTAGATGGCGCTGCTGTTCCTTCTTAGCAGTTCCAAATGTAAACATTTATTGAATAGCTAGGCGTCTAAGCTTACTAGTGGATGAAAAAATGTTTTTGTTTTTAATGTGATCGATTGCGTTATTATCAACGTTATAATGCTCTGCTCTACTCACAAATGATTGCATTTTATTCCTCAAATTATAAAATTAATTTACAGCTTTCATGCTGTAAGGCTTGTAGTACTTTTATGAATGATTAATTTGAAGATATTTTTCAGTCCCTCCCCCTTAGAAAAATAATCATATTACTAGTTATAATACTTGCTGTGTATATGTTAAATTTAATTAGAATAGGTTCTTCGCGTCTCTCATTTTGTAAAATGCTTAGATACACAGCTTGATATAAACTGTGGCGAAATTTTAATGAAGCTTATAGAATTTTTTGCTTCAGTCAGTAAATTTTCTATCATAAGAATACTATCATAATGAGTTATTCTTTTTTTTTTATGAATCAGATGTCAGTTTTGATTTTGATATCTTTATCGTTTTCTGAAAAATTCCATATCTTTGTTATTTGAGAAGTATGTTTCAAATTGATTTCACAAGATTTTAAAATACAATTCGGATTTGAATTCAGTTAAGTATTCTGAACACTTGGTTATGCTGAACTGTATATTATTCATAATTAAATATAAAGAGCAAAAAATATTGAAACTAATTCAATCTGTCTTTAATTTTGTCCTGCTTGAACTAACTTCTAACCAATAAATGCAATATTTTAACTAAAAATATAATGCATATCTTTTTTATTTTAAAAGTACATGTGCTCTTTTCCTCCAAAGGAGAAAAATTCTATCCCATTTAATAGCCTAAAAGATGAATTTCTTATGTTTAAAAATATTTTATCACAGTTATAATGAGATAATATTTTCTCACTGTTCAGTTTCAAATTGGTGCATGTAGCTTTTTTGAAAAAAATATTTTGCATGTGTTATCTTTTACTGGAAAAGATCCCCTATTTTTTATTTTCATTTATTGAACTGATTATTTACTAACAGAGTCTAATTACATTTGTTGCAAAACTACCAGTTAAATATCAGAATACCTACTGTGGGCTTGCTGCGGCATTTAAAAAATATCATTACCTATGTAAAACTAAAGTCTGTTTTCTCTTGCAGTAATTATTTACTTTTTTATTCTCAATTTAATATCTTCTTTCCAACGATTAAAGACTCGCAGTGAAAGAAACACGTTCAATTAAATAACAAGAATTTAATAAAAATGTAACAGTAATTATATAAATAATCCCGAAACAATCTTAACAGTATTGTTTTATATTGTCACACAGGGGTGAGCTATAGGAGGCTAGAGTGATTCGTTAAATTTGTGTTCTCTGTTTGAAAGCACCTTGTTCTTTTCCACCAGCAGTTGAGAAGCAAAAGTCATCAAACACTGCCAGTTTGGTCCTGGGTTCGAATCCCGGCAACAGGCTAGCTGCATGAGCATTTTCCTGGTTTTTCCAATTGAAATATATATATATATATACAAGCCAGTTTCCCTTAGAAATGAAGGTATCCTTACCCTTAGGCAGATAGCCCGCAAGTTGTTTGGTGTAATTAAATAGAGCAAATCAAACCTTTTCTTTTTGTTTTGTGGCTTAGAACGTATTGCTGCTGAATGTATACATGTCTATAAAATTTTACATTAGTTTTAGTTCATATCAAAAACTATTTTAAAAACCCATTTAATTGCAATTTACTCTCAATTGAACTGTTGGGAAGGAAATATTTTCAATTTTTCAAGATTCATATCAGCATTCTGAAAACAATAGACATTTAAATAATGTGTCTTCAATATCTTTAATTAACATATTATTGTAACTAAAATGTAGAGTATTAGCCAGTAAAATATTGTCGCCAGATGAAATCCCTTATCTGTTTTTAGACGACTGTAATAGTTCCATGGACATAAATTTAATGTGACCTCATCAGATATTCACCCCTTTTCGAGGGGAGGAGGAAAAATTAATTATGTGCATAATAAAAATTCCGGTAAATAAGCCTCATATAAAATCCAAACAATCGCTACAAATTACATTTTAAATTGGAAGATGTATCATTTAGGTATCACCAAAACCATGCCATCTACACAAAAACAAAATTTCTAATATTAGAACATAGAACCACTTATTTAAATATTCCATAATTCAATACAAAAAATATATTTATATAAACTCAGTCTTCACATAAGCAACTTTTTATGCAAAATACATATAAGTGCATGATATAAATATGGTACGTAAAATTTTCTAATATACCGTATTGCAAGTACACAGTACAGAATTGTAAATGAAGTATTTCTATGATAAAGCAAAATGCAATTTTTGTACAGCCCCAGTTACACTTAATTAGATAAATCACATACAGGATGAAGAAACAATACAAACCATTATAATCACATCATACCAGGAAATGAAATCAAACACTTATGCACTTGTATGATGTTAGGCACAATGTTGTTGAATCTCGAAATGATATTTAAGGGTGTTCAAGCCTTAAACTAATCATTATGCTCACACAATCGAGAAATCAACAAAAGACACATAAATTTCAAACAATATTAATTAAACATATTGCATAACTTGTAATAATGTTCTATGATAGTACAAAAAATGAGTGAAAGAAAAAGAAAATAAGTGTACTGTCTATTTCTACGATCATATTGATGTATAACTTGAGAAGTGGGAGATGTATGTTGAACCTAGTGGGAGAATCTTTTAGGAGCCAAATGAAAGCAATTGATGGCTGAGAAAAAATCATTGTCAAGTGCACAAATAACACAATTTACATCATTTACTTTAGAATAAATAACACAAAATGTTTTCGAAAACCTATGCTGGAATGTAACCTTGGATTTCACATACACTATAACATTGAATGATCTAAATATGCCATTTTTCATTTGACAAGTATTCAGCTCTCTTTGCTTTATTCCAACATCTCATAGGCATGCTCATAACTTAGTTTTAGCTGTGTTAAAAGATCACACAAATAATGTGATTTATCCAACTGAATGGCCTTGGATCAGGATTAAACATATTAAAAGGTAACGATAAATTTCTTCCAAAATGCAGATTATTAGGAGAATAACCAGTTGAAGGATGAACAGTACCATTGTAAATATTTTGATGGATAAGCAATGCATTTTCAAATGGAGTACCTTTTTTATGAAGCAAAGAGCTCTTGATGCTGGCATTAGCACGTTCATTTTGTGCATTATACTGAAGTCTCTGAGCAATACAGTGTGATAATTTAATATCCGAAGGATTTGGTAATCGATTCAAACACCAGTCAAAGGTATTGTGTGCCTAAATCGATTAAGATCATTTTTGGTCTTCCAGGTATATATATTGCAATAAATAGCAGTTTCAGCAGTGAGATTTTGGAGAGGTCATAAAACAAGATGTTTAGAAAAATGATCTAGAATAATGAGATCATGTTGACAATTTCGTACAGGACCACTAATATATATGGAAATAAAGCTTGCCTGTTTAGGAGTGAAAGATTTGTATTTGTTACATAAATGATACGGGATGACAAAATTCTTTGTGTTATACATACCTTTCCAAAAGAATCTTTCGATAAGATTTCATACGTTTTCTGAACTCGAAGAAGGGATATATGAGAAATTTCTCATATTCACAGGATTTCAATGCTAGTGGGACAACAACTAATTCAGCATTATTTCATTTATTCAAAACAAACATAAGAAGTTTATTGAATTATTTATGAAGAAATTTTGTACTTTTGCTGAATTAAGCAAGGAAGGATTTTTCAAAATATTGGTAATTGATGATTCACCTGGATCTAAAGTGAATTTGTTTTCAAATAAGCATTGCAGTCTAATGATATAATATTACAATAATTCCAAGGACATAAATTTAATGTGACCTCATCAGATATTCACCACATTTCAGGGAGGGGGGAGAAGGAGGAAAAATTAATATGTGGATAAATAAAAATTCCAGTATCACGGTGCCAGCCTCATATAAAATCATGATGGTCATCATGTTGGAACTAACAGTCTGGAAACAGCTTGCGTATAACCCCATTTTTTCGCCAACAGTAAATATCGCCAAAACTCTTGCCAATCTGTAACACCGTGGTCTAGCAACCTGATGTAAGTAGCAGAATTGAATTTTCACGTAGTTAAACACTCCGATTTTATTTTATTTTTTTATTATTATTAGATTTGCAGTGTTATTAAAATGGCAAGCAGACGATAAGATTTGATAACTTAGCATTTTATCGTTTTTATTGTAAAACTAGCATTTTATCAATGTTTAAAATGGGTATTTTGAATTTTTTATGTGTTAAATCAAAAAATTTGTTGAAAATTTAGATATTTCTTGATTTTTTTGCTCTGAAAGTATGGGAGAAATTATTCAATGACTAACAAATTATTTGATTCAAATCCTTAGAATTATTTAACTTTATGCAATAGCCATTTTTGAGTGTGAAATTTCCATTCAATTTAATTCACTTAAATTTTTATACTCCCAAATTTTCTGATGTGGCAAAATTATTTTTGAAGAACAGCGAATAAATTTCAGTATATTTTATCCTTGAGAAAGCACACATATGCACACCAAAAAAAAGACCACTTACCTTGATTTTCATCATAAAATTATTTCCGTAATGCAAATTTAGAAAACTTATAATCATATATGTTAAAAATTTATTGATAAGATCTTCACAATGCTAACATATACACAAATACTTATCAATGATACTTTTGAATAACAAAGCAAAAGTCACCATTCAATTTCATGAACAGTTTCTAAAAATGTTGTGACTATGTCCAATTCTTCTGCTGCACATTGTTTCGAGAACATGTATTCTACTAAATACAATGCAAAGTCTCCATTTCTGTTATAATGGGGTAGCTGTGTTTTAATGTGCCGCCGTGTACCTTCAATTGTATTTGTGAGTGCTCCTCGAGAAAATCTATGTCTCCATTTCTCTAGCAGAACAGAATCCTGTAAAAAATATTTCATTAAGTATATATAAATATCAGAATTCAGTTGCATACAAAATAAAAATATACTTGTTGCATGTAATTTTTTTACATTACTTTGATGCAAATTTAATTTGAATATTGTAATGTCAAATTAAAATTTAACTGCAGCATGTAACACTTGAAGAGTTCTACAAATTCAAATTTAAATTTAAAATCCTTGTGCATAATGGTTCTCACTCTGCACTGTAACAAGATTTAAATCTTTTAGTAGCCATTCATTCATGTGATCAGGTGGCATGATTTCATATTCATAACTTATTTAATATGCTGAATTTATCTCACAGAAAATCCATTTTTCATTACACTTACCTGCTGTTAGGTTTTCGCTCAATCATGCAGCATAGTCTTGGGGGGAATGAGTTTATCTTCTTTTCTGTAAATGAAGTAGAAGGGCAAATACTCTATCATTCTTGTATAATTTCAGAAATTTATTTAACTTTGAAATCTAACAATTGCATACTTTATTGCATACCATTTTCATGGACGAAATGCAGATGCACATGAGTTATGTGCAATATTTAACTAATTTCCAATTTATTGCTTTTTTATAAGCATACAGTAAATATTCTCTTATTTACTAACAATCCAGACATTCTGAAAAGTTATATAAATTCGTATATATGATCAGGCATAATATAAATGTTGCTCACCTTTGGAACTCTAAATATATCTGGTTTCTTGATTCCCAAGCTTTTATTCTTCAGTGTAATAGTTCCATAAACACTGTTGCATCCAGGGACGAAATAGTTTCTATTATTTGACTTTTTCATAATGAAAATTGATATCAAATCAATATTTTCGCTATTACTGTCTATGGAATACTACGAAAAGACGAAAAGCTAGTGATTGCAGCGCCCTCTATAAATAATGCCACAATAAGTGGACCATTTTTGGGAAAAGTGGTAATACCAGTTTCCCCTCCTTCAGTATACTCCGTACTCCTACACCACCTGATATTTTTGTCAAACAGCTTAAAAAAACTATAGAACAAACTGGACAAAGAACCGTATCCGATAAATACGTCCAAAACTTATTCGTCCTTCAAGACTTGAAAACAACATCACGCGTGTTTATTCGCAAAGACAGAGTTAAAAAGCAATTAGAACCTCCTTAGGATAGTCTATTTTAAGTGGTTGAAAAAAAAAGAAAAATATTTTACTGCAAAAATTAGCACACACATGTTACAGTGTCTAGTAATTAAAGCCTGCATATTTCTTGCAAATACCAGACGTCACTATGAAGCAATCGACAATTTCAATCAGACAGCCTGTCAAACCTCCTAAAATTAAAAAGCTTCCTGCAAAACAGTCGCCCATAAAACGGACAATAAAACCCTCTGCGAGTTCGGGATTAGCATTTACATATATATATAATATTATTTTGTAAATAGTGTGTTTTTGAAAGTAATAATACGCTTTACCGTAACTTAGTTACGGGGAAGGGAGTACTGTTGGGCCAATGCTATTCGCACCAGAGGTGCGATTAGCCGCTGCAACTATTCGCACCAACATTAGCCACGCATGCGCTTTGAGTTGTCGGATCCGTCATTTGAACCATATCGAAAAAAAAGGAATCTTAAGTACGCGAACTGTCAAAGACTGTTGTAGTGAGTCTTTTTTTTTTAAAGGCCGGTTACTACGTTGAGGTAGTTTATCATTTTTTAAGCCTTAGCGACTTTCAAAAGATTAGAAAGGGAAATGTGTTCCTTTTCTTATATATATATGAAAAGAAGGAACACATTTCTTTTATTTATGTATATATAAAAAAAGACAGATTTTTATGTTCGCATAAACTATTCCAACCGTTCGTTCTCCTGAATGGTTAGAAAAGTTTAAATGACTGATTTGGGGAAGGAGGACTAAAACCTCGTTTACATTTTTTGTACTTCTTAGAATACATTTAGATTCAAATATGTGTTTTGCACAATCAAGGTTTTTGTTCATTTCTCTTTGAAATTTTTCGAAACTCATCTTCTTCGTCGACTGAATCAGAATCGTCAGTTTAGCTTCCGATACATACTACAAAATTAAAGTATGTTGAGTAATTAAAGTATGTAAAGTGATCGGTAAATCATTTGTGCCCTTAAGGTGCTCGCTCATTTTAAATTAAATCAACGGTGCATTTGCACCACCGCTCGCGAGAGAGAAGAAAAATTTTTAGAAGGCGGCAGAGCCTCGAGGTCGAATAAGCAAACATCACTTTCACACACAGATCGTGTTTTATTCTCGAGTGTCAAAGATGTAGAAACATCTTTTTACTCGGCTTCAGATAACAATCTGGAAGAAAAGAAAGAAGAATAGTCCAGCAGGAGGTGTGGGAGGGGGGAATAGTCAGGTCAGTACCTCCTACATAGGAGGTACTAATCGATGTCTCATACTTATGAGAACTTATTTAAATTATTGCAAACTTATTATTAATCTTTTTCCAAATAGTATTAATCTTTTTCCTCCTACATAGGAGGTCCTGGTCAGGTCCACGCTAAGTAGAACTCCACTCCTCTCTCAGTCAAACGTTGATTCGTCGGAGCCAGTCACGTGGGAGGTCACCCTTCCAGGAACTGACCCCGAAATCCGCTGCTTGAAACAGGAACACCTATGAGAGAAAAGATGATTTTTTGGAAATGAAATAAAGTAATTATTTTCATCAGTTCGTCTGAGGAATGCACATTAATTTCCTTCTTCGGGGAATTTCATCAGCTACATAGCAGCTTTAAATACAGTAGATAATTTTTCAGCGGCTGATTTTGCTTTTCAGATATTGTCTATACTTTCGATAATTTTGCTTAGAAAGTCTCTAAATTTTTCATCTTTTAGTCATGTTCAGGATTTGAATAACTTGCTTCTTTACTTTTTCACCGTATTGAGTTTTGGGCACCTCCTTAGCTTTATCGTTTGTTTCCTTGATTAGCAGAGGAAAGTCATCTAACTTCCTCGTGAATTCCATACTCTGTTTTGGAGTAGGTTTCTTTTCAAACTTTTCCTTGTACTCCACACATCCTCTATAGCTACAAAAGTGGTTTTTTTTTACAGAAAATACAAGTGGGTTTTTCTTCCTTTTTCAATGTTCATGTATTAGTCTGAAACTCTTATTAACTATCTGTTCTTAGTAATAGTATACAGTGCTTAAATTGCGCCGGAGCCCGGCTCCGGTGCTTCTCAATTTTTAAGATAAATTACAATTTTAGCCGGAGCACTAAATAAGATGAGCTCCGGTACTTTTTTTATAAATCTGAACCACAATTTAAAGGGAAAAAATTTAGAATTCCTAACGTTTTAGTTTAACAATAAGCAGACTTTGCAATAGTCTATTTCCCTAGAAATACGAACTCATGAGAACATGAGACGTTCAAGTAAAGTTCCCTCACTCACATGCGGAAACCTTTTCCTTTAAGAAAAGCAATAAATTTTGGGAGAGTTTGTTTAGGAACGCCTAAATTTCTTGCCATGCCATTGTATCTGGTGTACTGTTATCCATGCTTACAGTTAGTTATCCTCGCAAGAAGGAAAATTTGTGTTCTTAAATGTGCGTTAAGTGACAGGGAGTACAACAAGAGTGAAATATTGAGATAAACTGCTCAAGCACGTCTTATACATCGCCTTCCCACTGCATCAACTAATGGGGGGGGGAGCGTAACCAGCAACTTTACATTTAGGAGTCTGATTCAGGACTCATTTACCCCTGACCCCCATCTGCTTGATGGTTATAATTATATCAACAGAGAGCCACGGTCAAAGAGAAGGTTCTCTCTCACCAAGATTCCCCTCATTTTTTGTTTCCACCCACTCATACCCTTATTCTGTTTCGCCCTGGAATTATCATCAGCTATACATCAGCTAAGTATATTTAATTTTTGTGATGAAAAAGGAACTTACCCCCGATCAGAACTTAAATTGTGCCAGAACCCACCGGATCTCGGCTCCGATGCTTCTTAGCTTTTGTAATATATCATAATTATAGCCGGAACGCACCGGAGCCCTGAATAAGAAGGCTGCCGCACTTCTTTTATGTAATTGAATAACAATTTCAGTAGAAATTTATCTCGAAAATTTTATTTAACAATAAAATTATATTAAAAATCGCGTTTTAAATTTCAATTTATCTCTTCGCATTTTATTTAATTTTAATTAGTTAATTACTTCAATTTTAATTATTTCAATAAATAATAATTATCTAATAATTATTAATTAAATTGTAATTAATTAATTATATAATAATTATTGATTAAATAACAATTTATAAACATTAATTAAATATCTATTAATTAATTTGATAATAATTAACTATTTAATTTTAAATTTATTAATGAGTTTAATAGTCATTTTATTTATTTATTTACTCTTGTTCCTCTCTACTAATGGTCTTCCATAGGGCTCCGGCACTTCTAATCTTAGAAATTAAGCCCTGGTTGTATATATCTAAACTTAATGCTGTTACATTAAAATACGGAAGTCAAACCTTCTAACGCACCGCCTTTAATATTTTAGCAGCTTTATTCAACAATAATAATTGCAATGATAACTTTCTTTTTCATTTGTTGTGTTAAATATTCCAATTTTGGAACTATTACATTTACATTTCACCTAATACTATAAAAGAGTATGCCTTCATGGCGTAATAGTTAGCCACACTCCGCGCTTATTGGAGAGGTCCAGGTTCGAGTCCCAGTGAGGGCATTGCTCATTTTTCACTTCTCTTGCATTTAAAAAAAAAAAAAAAAAAAAAAAACTTAATGTCTCTACAATGTTAAAAAATTTCCTTGCATATTCCTTTTCTTGTTATAAAATATCGCAGATTGTGCTATCTACAACGCAAAATATTATATAATTTTTCTCTGTGCAATCGATGTCTCATACTTATGAGAACTTATTTAAATTATTGCAAACTTAGTATTAATCTTTTTCCAAATATGAACATTTACTATTTACTATTTTTTCCAAATATGAACATTGTCGTTGTTATTATTAATGGGCAACATACGTCAAAAATAGGGTATATTATTTATACTAATGAGAGATATGTGCATTAATTTGTCAAGGCATAAATCGTGGTAAGTAGGAGGCCATTACTTTTCAGTTAATAATTTTATTTTGCTGTGTGATTCCAGTTAAAATAACTTCCTAATTTAAATGAATATTTAGGATCTTCATCTATATTCTGCCTTCATTTTTTAAACCCTCTTTCTTTTTAATCATTGCGTGCAAAGTAAATTCTGATTCATTAAGTGTGAAGTTTCTTTCGTTAATAAGACTATCAGCAATAAAATTTCGCAAACTCCTTTATGGAAGTAAAAACCGAATTATTTGCATAAAAAACACATTCTAAAAATAAAAATCTCATTTCTTCACATTCTGATGAAAACAATATAGTTTCCAGATTTATAGACGATGTTAATTAAATATGAAAACTTAAATTCAGTTAATTTGTAAGCTGCGCATTCTTAAATTTAGCGAGGCCGAAAGTATTCTTATACTCGAGGCCAAGGTCCATAGGTCCCAAGGTTTCTAAAATATCCTGTAAGGAGTATTTTACACGGGTGGCTAAAACCAAAGCCCCCTGATTTCAGGCGGCTTTGCTAAAACCTGCCAGGAACTGAAGAAATTCAACCACTCAGCATAAGCCACCGCCGGAGACTGTTTTTGGCGACCAATTTTTACGCCAGCAATTGAAGGTTTTGTTTTGAATTTATTCTCCGCTCATATTCCTCTTTTCGTACCTTTTGATGACATTTTTTTCGCATCAATTTAAAATAATTTTTTAACCTT